CTGCGCCTGCGCGCGCCCGCCTCGGCGCTGGGCCCTAGTGTCTGCGCCTGCGCGCGCCTCCGCCTCGGCGCTGGGCCCTGGCGCCGGCGTCGGCGCCTGCGCGCGGGGCTGGTTCCCCGCCCCGCTGGTGATGGAACCCGAGTCCCGCCTGACAGGGACTGGAGGCTGCGGTAGTGAAAGGCTTTGCCTTCACCTGTCGGGCCTCTGTGTGGCCAGATCTGCCCTTGACCCTGGGCCCCATAGGGTTAACGGAAGCTGGGACTAGCAGAAATTCCTAAGCTTGCCTTTGTCGTTAAAATTCGCTCTTCTTTAACTTGCTTCACTGACCACGCTCGCTTTGTCACTAGTGTTTGCGTGTCCTAATAAAGGTATTTCCTCTCCGTTGTTTTTCAGTTAGTTGGAGTGGGCTGTGTCCAGTTTGAACAAGCCAGTTAAGACTGGCTGGGACCACCGCCCCCTGGGCCTGCACGTGTCTGATACCCTTTTGATATCAGAAGGCCCAGAACTGCCCCCTCAGATCATGCCAAGCGCCGCCACTTTTGAACATGGGTCCCAGGAAGAAGCAAGTAACTCAGGTACACCTGTGAGGCACACTGATGCTCATCTCCCCTACCTCCCAGTCTCCTTTCCCCCTGCCTAAGACCACCTTGCTTGTTTATCCCACAAATATCCCAAGCCCTTACTCTTCTGGGAAGTGGACTGAGAACTATCCTCCCACCTCCTTACTTGGTGGCTGTGTGAACAAATCCTTTCTCTGCTTCAAACCTGGCGTCTCAGAATTTTGGCTTGCTGTATATATGCAGTGATACCCTCAATCCCAGAGGGCTCTGAGCTTCCCAACAGCAAAGCAAACCCCGCCTTCCACCTCCCACCAGCCTTTCAAGCAGCTGCAGAGGGAGGTGGAGGCAGCAGCAGAGTTGCTTTATTAGGGGCTTGGGTGGGCAAGGGAGGGCGGGCATGGTGCTGGCCTGTCAGAGGCGCTTGAAAAAGAGCTTATGGCCTTGGTCCAGCGTGCAGGTTCTGGGGCCCAGCCGGCTGGGCAGCAGCCGGTGCAGGGCACCCCGGTCCTCAGCGGAGAGACGTCTGCTGCACAGCTGTAACTCCTGCAGCTGTCCCAGAGCCTGGTCCCAAAGGCCCGGGCCCAGGGGGCCCTGGACAGCACAGCCTGCAGAGGGGAGGCGGGAGCAGGCTCAGTGGTGTTCGTGGCAGGCCCCATGAAACTCCCAGGCCTGTGTTTTTCCCTTTACCAATGTGGCCCTCAGGAAGAAATACATTTCCTTTGAGGCCCCAAGGACTGCAGTGAGGTGCATGAGGAAAGCCCAGGAAAGGCCCGACAATTCTCTCAGGAGTGTGCTCTCCCGGGGGGGGCTGCCGAGGACTATGGGCACCTTTCACAGCCAGTGGTCAAGCAGGAGGGAGGTCGACTGAAATAAACTCTGCGTTCACATCTGTGCCTGACAGTGTCTGGAAACACCTGGGTCCCTTCATCCATAAAAAGGGCCCAATGGGGCGCCTGTGAGTCTCAGTAACAGCTGCCAAGGCTCGATCCTCAGACTAGAGAGCACCCAACAGGCTCGGGACCCCAGGGAGCTTGGTGAGAGTATAAATGCCAGGAAGCCAAGTGTGCGGGAGCAGCCTCCTACCAGTCTGCCTTCAGGGGTGCCTTCCTGGAGGAGCCAGCCTGGTCCTGTGGGGCGGTGGGTGAGGAGCAGGGGCTTCCTGGGTGCACACCCACTTCCAGCCCTTGTCCTCCTAGAGGGCAAAGCCAGTCTCTTGCCCAGGGCCCCAGTAGGATGTGCCAGTTCACCAAATGCACCTCTCTGGGCTCATCCTCAAGACAGTTCTGGGAGGTACTGTGCCTGGGTGTGGCCAGAAGGAGGACAAGATAAGTTCTCACTTAACAAGACGGTCCCTTGGTCCTCCTGCCCTACGGTTTTAGGAGCTGGGCTCATGCTCCCTTCCTGTGTCAGCCTCAGGAGCTCAGCTCACCCTTGCTATCTGGCTGGTGACAGTGACAGCCCCTTTAGAGGAGGCACCTGGTATGTCAGGTGTGGCCACCATAGCCAGGGCTCACCTGCCAGGCCAAGGAAGCTGAGGCCTTGGGGCCGCTCTCGGAGGGCAGACAGGAGCTCCTCCAGGCTGGCACAGCTGATCTCGGGGTTGGCGGACAGGTCCAGTGAGACCAGCGAGGGACAGAGGGGGAGACATCTGAGATGAGGGAAGAAGCATGGGGGTCAGCTTCCACCATGAGGGGAGCTGCCCAGGTGAACCTACGGCTCGGGGGCCACAGGCCAGGCCTAGCAGGATTTGCTCCAGCCTGGCATGGGCGCCTCTGACACTCCTGAGGGCCTGCTGAGGCTACAGGGCCACCAGAGCAGTCGCCTGTGTGTGGGCGGCTGCATGAAGGGCGGCAGGAAAGGACACACCAGAGGGGAAGACTCTGGAGAGCTAGGCGAGCATGAGGGCTGCCAGGAGGCAGGTTAGAAGCTGGAGGCCAGGTCTCAGGGCATGCTTGGGGAAGGAGCCCCAGCCCCCCCAGCCTTCCCAGCCTCCTGGGCTTGAGATGAGGACCCCAGCAGGACGGTGGAGGCACAGGCTGGGTGTGTTACCTGCTCAGGTCTCTCACTGCCTTGTCGCCCAGGTGGTTTGCCGACAGGCTCAGATGCTCCAGAGCACAGCCTTCCTAGACAGTGGAGCCCACAGGGAGCCACTGAGAGGGCTGCCTGTTCTCCCGGCTTCCCTGTAGAGGCCCGACACCCAGAAAGCCAGATACCTTCTCTCTTCCTTGAGAACGAGGGGGCAAAGACTGCCTGGCCCCCAAAGCGCCAGAGGGGAGCAGTGTCCCTTCAGTTTGCAGACCAGAAGGAAATGCCTCTTCCTCTGGTTATGTCACACTTGGCACACTGTGACATGACAATGTGACGTGTGACAGACCAGCCCTGCCTGAAAAAGCCCCAGGAGAGACATACCTGCTGGCCAGAAATTCACAGCCTGAGGCAGGCAAGTCTACAGAAAGCTTTCCCAGGCCCTGTTCTTCTCAAACCTGCAACCCTTTCTAGCATCCCCACCCCCAGTCCTAGGTGGCTCAAAGTTCTTCTGGCTTGGCACCCCTCCTTGACTGCATACCTTCGTCAGGTATCTGACCATGGGCTCCACAAGGCCTGTGTCACTCTTGCTGGCTGTCACAGCGCTCAGCTCCAGGCGCAGGAGGGTGTGGGCGGGGAGGCTCTGCAGGGCCTGGGCCAGGGCTGTGGCGCCCAGGACATTGTAGGACAGGGCCAGTGTCTTCAGGCACTTGGCATCTGCACCACAGGCCAGAACCTCTGTCAGCCCACACAGCCACCACCCTCAACCCTGTAGCAGAGTCCTGGGCCCAAACCCTCATGACCCCCTGGGGATGCTGTCAGGGGAAGCTGTCATCATCCCTGAGATTCTGTGCACAGGAAAATGAGGTAGCTCTTGCCCAGGGTCACCAGCTGGGGAGGGTGCAGGACCAGACTCCTGTGCCCAGCTCTTTCCCACTATTTCTGGTTTCCTTACCTGCCCCGACTCCCAACAGGATGGCCCCAGGCTACCTGAGACAGGCCCTAGGCTGGGACATCCAGGCGTGGTGGGGTGGGGTCAGGGAGCACTCTGTCTGCCATCCCCACTGCAGACCCTCCTCCCTTCCTGCTGCTCTCACAGCTCTGAGCCCCACTTCCCAGCTCTGTGGAAAGCCCCCTAGAAGACCCTCAGTCTCTAGCCTCTCAGTCCCAGAACCATGGGTCTCCGCAGCCCCAGTGGGGTTCTGGTGGAACTGTCTCTG